GGAACTCCAACGTCGCTACCGAAATCAGGTGGTAGCACTGACCCAGAAGAGAACAGATGTACCTCTGGGTAGCAGTCTTTCGGAGAGCATGTACTCCACAGTGGCCTCCTCTTCAGGCAGAGAGCCTTTCAGGACCACTCTCAAGCAGCTCGTTGAGGGTAACAAGAATTTCGTAAACGTCCAACGATGTCTGGACTGGATCAAAGAGCAGGAAATCGCGATCAAGAATGCGCCTTTTGGAAACAACTGGAAGAGTAAGTTGCTCTCGCTGATATGCAAAATATATGTATGCTTACATGTAACTGGTATTTTTAGAGGAGCTACCTTATTCCCTGTGCTGCTGGACAGCCAAAAATGGAGTCCCAGTTAGGATTCTGTTGTTTGTCCTCTTCTTTTATTTTAAAGTCAGGACGTTTTATAAAGCAACCATGAAAAGGTATTGAGAAGTGGCAATGGGTTGCGGTTCGACCGGACATACGGTAGAATTTTCTTTTAGGTAAACATGTCATGTCACCTTAATGCACGCCTCAAACCCCAAATTAATTGAATTTATTTCTGCGAGGAACGTAGTCTACTAGGTTAGGACGAATCCGGACATGTGAGCTGCGTTATGACATATCTCCGCCCAGCAACTGTTCGGTGAAGCAAAGAAAATTCTTCATTTGCATGACTGTGAACAAATGGTCATCAAGCGAAGATGTACATACGTTGCAGCAGAATCGATCGGTACATTGTCTGCTCCGACACTGATACTTTTACCAGCTTCCAAAAAAAACTCTGCACTGGCTGCAATTCGCTGTCATACATTGCTACAGCTAAAAATTGAGATCAGTAAACGTAGCATTAGGCCTAGCTGTCTCAATATCGGAAAAGCGCCTAGCCATTACTTGAGTTCAGAACGAGAGAATGCAATCTTTGGAAAAGCACGTTTATCGGCTCGGCGTTTCGGATTTTCGCAGTGGAAGGCTTGGGTGAGCCAAATGGCCACGTAGTTATCACGTCAACACCCAATACGGATGGTGCTGATGATGACGTCGCGGCCATTCACGAACGCGGACTGCCAAGCCAATATCGCATCAATCATAACCCCAAACAAGGATCACGAGAGCTGATAATTGTAGCACGCACGTGCTTTTGTGGCCACGACGGACTATAAATACTGTGCAACCTGTGCCTCTATTACCCTTATCCGCTTATGTTCCTGATGATGGCTTCGAACGAGAATCCGAAACGCCAGGCTGATAAACACCATGTTCCAGCGATCGCATTCTCTCCTTTTGAACTGCTTCCTGGAATTCGCCTGTCCTCTACTTTTTTTTCGGGCCAGCCAGGCAATCCCTAAAACTCGTGGCAAGTACCCTTTTTTTCTGAAGACAAGCTGGTTGAAGAAGAAGAATGCCTCATTTTGAAGATAATATCCAGAATTTTCAGCAAAAAATGGCTCCATTCACGGAGAGATAGGGATAAGGTAAGACAAAATCTAAGGCAAAATGTCATAGAATGGTCAAAGTTAAGGTTTACACGATATCCACATCTGTTAAGGAGACAGGTCGGATTTCAACTCCTGAATTTCCATTTCTTCAAACGTGAGGTAGCGTGCTAGGAATGGGAGTCTAGAGCGCTGATATGCCTATGTACGCCAAGACATCTGACGGAGGCTGCGACGCATAGTACGGGTAGACATCGCAGCCATTAGTTCAAAGTAAAGAGGGTAAGTGACCTCACTAAGGATGCGGTCAGCAAATTGCTTGACCGGCTGGTTGTTAGAATGCAAGACTTCGCGCTCAATAGGGTTACACCTAACCTTCCGATAATCGAGCAGAGAAGGCTTTAGTTTGCCGGAACCCAACTGCAATTTATCTAATTTTTGGCTTTATTCTTTTCTTGTAGCCGTGACCGAAGCTACACGCCGATACGAGCTCCTCCACCGAAAAATTGAGTCATTTCGCGTTGAAATCGATCAGTGCCATAATATGAAGGTAATTTTCTCCGTGTAATTTTCCCTCTCGCTAACATATATATCCCCGTTTTCCTCAATTTTTGTGCCATGATTTTTGTGCGAAGGATATTCACAGGAAAGGGGAGGGGAACTGCTGCCTTTGATGACATCCTCAGTCAATGGAAACCCGTCCGCGTCGTCACTTTTGAGATTATTCTTACTGTTTCTTCTAGACGATATTGGTGTCGTTGATGAACGTTTATCCGACCGATAACAGAACTCGTCTGTCTCGCCCTACCTTGAGCCTCATTTCTCCGGCCCTGATAGCCGTATCAGCTGGTAGTATAGGCAGATAGTATTGCCCGCAAAGACAAGGGAGACTGGAATGGCCATTTTTGGCTCATTAGCCGTCGTTAGTCAGTCATACCCAGACCGAATTGGTGTCCCACCCGAGCCTCGAACTCGCGACCTATTGATCAGAGTCATACGCCTTAACCATTGGGCCACGAGCTCGTTGTCTCATCGGTTTAGGTCAGGGGATAGTGACACTCGTTGATGAACGTTCACCTGACTGATAACGGAAATGACAATCCTAGTCTTCCTTGTCTTTGCTGACAATACTATCTGCCTATACTACCAGATGTTGGTATCTCTGTTTCAGTTCCCTACATAGTCAGTACCACCCTATGATTTGATATTTTTATAGTAGTTTCACTAGAGGTTATCATTTGACTAATTTATGAATTTGCAAACTAGTGCATCTGTTCCTCGGATTGAAGACCAAACAAAAGCACATTTTAAAATGGGGAGGGCAATAGGTTGATGGTCAACCGAACGGTTGATTCAAGTCACTGGTATTTTTCAGTCCTGGGCGCACTTCTATGCCTTACGTATGCTCATACCCGAATGCCGGTTTAGCATTTCCCTAGCCTATCCTTCGGACCCGGCCTTTTGCAAGACTCAACAAATTTGACTACGAAGGCTGTGGGGCCTTTCCATGTGCATAACGAACGAACGGTGATAGCTTGTGTACAGTATTGAATCTTCCATTTACAGAAGTGATAGATGCTTTATTCTGGTAGTTCCGTGACTTAAAATTGCCCCTTAAATATCAGTTTTTCTAGTAACCCCCGTCCAGTTAACACTCCATTTTGCAACCGTTTCCTGTGTTAATGCACGTTGGAGTCGACTGCAATGTTTGGTGAACTTCCATGAATACCCTCCTAGCATAAACAACATACTTTATACCGAAGTTACGCAGTCACTAGGTTTAAAACTTCTTGGGTCGAGTTTTGGCCTCATTGGTATTATAAGATGAATACTATCTATCAATATCGCTTCGGTGTGCCGTTCCTTGTGATATTCCGTCGATTATTGACTAACGCTATTTTACTAAGATAGCATATGGAAAATAAGAAAACCCACAGAGACAAGAAACGTTTGTTTAAGGGCAGGATCGAACGAACGACCTCCATATTCGCGTTGGGTGCACTGGTGCGGTAGCTACTTCTTCCGACTTTGTGAATTAATCGATGTTTCCCTTCTGGTGATTCACGAGGCGAGCCATCGTCACAGTTTTCAGGACTGTGTATGACTTTTCGCATAGCCTACAACTAGTTTCACTAATATTGTTCTAGTCGGTAGATATTACATACAATCGAATGCGGTCGTTACTTGTTTGCATGCCTTGTTATAAATCAGAGCGACAAGAAGGCCATATTTGCGATCCCTCCGCTCCTGGTTTATGCAATTTCCGTCTTTTCCAAATCCCGCTGCAAATCTGAGATTTTCGAGAGGCAAACTCAAATGTCAGGGCAATTTTCCTTTGTCTACTATTCACGCAAGTAGAATTTCCCCAAGGGTAGTGAGATGCGATACATTCATCAAAATAACCAATGTATTA